TGGGAGTTGAGGTCCACCCATCTGCAGGTGGCCAAGGTTGAGAAACACTGTGGTTGTCCTTTGCATTCTGGAAAATAAGCCCTCTTTCCTGCGTAAACTGCCCTGGAACTTTGGCACCCTTCCCCCCCACTTTCTCAGAAGGGTGTCCATGGGACCCGCCCCACTGCGATCAGCACAAAAGGTGCCTAAGGGTTGCCTGGATCTTAAGGAGGGGAGGTGCATACTGCATGGCGTTGGCGGACGGTCAGTCCACCAGCGTCCTGGATATGTTCAGCTCTCCCCCCCGGTGCCTTTGGTTAGCCGGACAGGACACGGAGCAGAGAAAGGGTTAGGGTTGATCCAGCAAAGGAAAGACGCCGGACCGATGCCACTCTTTAAAAGGGGCCAGATCGCGCCCCCACCTCCAGGCTTGAAAAGCAGGCTGCGTCTTCAGAGAAACTGTCTCCCCTCTACTGGGCTATCAAAGCTCTCTGGCATCACTTGTCCTTCTGGGAAGTGCTCACAATCCTCTTCAGATCTCGCTGAGCCACGTGGATTGGTGTCATCCGGGACCTATTTTTAGCATTATAAATCCCAAATCGGTGATGATTTTACGACCGACTGTCAGCCCTACTAGGCAGACCAGACCAGGCAGTCAAGCCACAGGAAGACTAGAACTACCTGCCCTGTGGAACAGGGAGAGGCTGTTCCACAGGGCAGGTACTGCAACCAAGAAGCCCTGCTTCCTAGGACCTGCCAGGTGACACTCCTTCACCAAGAGGACCCAGAGCAGGTCTACCCTGCCAGATCTGGTGGGGCAGGCAGAAACCATCAGGGATTTGGCAGTGTTCCCAAGTTGGAGCCCTCCAGATATGCAGCATCTCAACCTCCATCATCCCCAGCCATTGCAGACAGAAGAGAGAGGGTTGTCCAACTCGTACCTAGCCAAGACACAAACAGGCTGGAAACCTATTTTTCCTGCTGGGTCCCTCACCCCGCATCTCACCCTCAGCCCAGGAGTCAGACAAGCTTCAGTCCTCCATAGCTGTACCAGCATCAAAGTAATGTTTTCTCCCTTCTTCTGACGCCATCAAAGAGCAGCACCAGGATGCATCAAACCCACCAGGTTTTGCCATCCAGGACCTTGGAGAGAAGTCAAGGGACCCGTGGTCAAGTAGGGTTAAACTGTGCTTATGATTGGCTACTCTGTGGGCCTTCTCCCCCTCTCCGGTCCTTCATCAGCTTCATCCCTAAAGAGCTGGCTGGGAGAGCAGAAAGCAGAAAGAAAAGGTCTGGAGACAGTGCAACGGTACAAGGGTGGAACTGCCCTGCCTTGTAAACAGAGCATGGAGAAACCTGGAGGTCTGCGTTTGTAAAGAAAGAAAAGGGAAGGGAGAACAATCATCCACAAACGTGTTGCTTGTAACCCAGAACCTTTCTTTTCTTTTTAAATTTATTCAACTCGTGGCAGGACAGGAGGGGCCACAGGGGAAAGGCACAGAAAGCAGGGTCAGGAATCTTGGGGTCGACCCCGCCCCGTTCCTGCTGCAGGCCTGCAATTAGTGGATGGCTGGTGACACGTTGAAGAGGGAGGGCAGCAAGGCTGGAGGACTCCACCAATCGATTGGCTTATCACGTTCTGCACACCCAGAATCAGGACGGCACCATCCGGCAGCATCCGGGATTGGATGTAGTTGAAACAGGACAGGGGTTCCCCAATTCAGGAAAGCAAGTAGAACTTCTTTTGTGTCCCAAGATTCCTTCTGAAAACACAGGTGTTCATCGTGTTCACCTGTACCTCCTGGCATGATACAAAATCTCAAAATAAACAGTTGGGATTTGCAAGGAATAAACAAAGGGTGAACTTCGTCCTCTGGGGATGAAGACTCCAGAAGGATCTGAGTGGGCCCCACACTACAGAAATGGCTGAATATCCACCTCATTGTTGTGATGTGATGGTTTTGTCCAAGAGGTACTTCCCTTGGATGGTGACCCACTTATCTGGCAGAAGAGTGACATCATCCTGTATGGCTACCCATTCTGGGCTGTAGAAATCCAGAATGACCATTAGATAACAGCAAAAATCTCTACCTCTTCACTGATATCTAGTGGTGGTTTGGCTTTTTGCAGCCCAGATTGGTGCTCTTCAGTACAATGATGGGAGAGGAACTGAGTCTCCACTCACCCTCTGGGATCTTGACTGCTGTTTTCTCTTGCGCGAGGCAAACGTGCTCATTCCCTTGAGCTGTTCCTCAAAAGCCTTGGTCCTCCAGACCCCTTGTCTTCCTGGTAGCTCTCCTCTGCATCTGTTCTGGCCTCTCCATGTCCCTTAAGAGTGAAATTTGTACTGGAGAATGTAAAAATACTTGCAAAGTTTTGGAAAAGCTGTTTAATGCATTCTCTATTATTTTCCCTGTTGATTACTGTGTCGTTCTTGGTTGATTAAGTTGGGTTAGATTTATTTTAACAAAAAGAGATATACATAATTCTGTAATGGTTATCCTAGTTCATTCATATTCTCCTTTTCTGAACTTCACAATATCTGTGGTTAGTATAACTGCTGTGGTAGAGGGGATCTAATCTTGGATGGCTCCTCTTATCCTGCAGGGAATGAGCGGATCTTCTCAAGGAAAGCGGGGACCCTAGCTGAAAAAGACCCCAAGGAATTCTGCATACAATGGGTTAGGGACAGTGGTGGGCATGTGGGATTCCTGAGGGACCTGGTCATGGATGGCTTAACCTCTCAGGGATGGTATAATTGCTCTTCCTACACACTGCAGAAGGTTGTTCCTTGCAGACCCCCCAAAATCTACAGTTCTACGTTTGGGGCAAATGAGATGTAGGGACAGATGGAGCTGCTTTAGAGCTATGGATAACAGTCTGATCTGCAGGGTTCTCCTCAGCGAAAATGAGCCATCCGCCCACGCAGCGTGTCGTGACCACCTCTTCTCCTCTCACCGTAGGTCAAGGTTTGGTTCCAAAATCGTCGCACCAAGCAGAAGAAGGACCAGAGCAGAGATGCGGAGAAACACGCCTCCTCCAGCTCCGAGTCTTTTGCCACCTGCAACATCTTGAGACTCTTGGAACAAGGGCGGCTGCTCTCGGTCCCAGCCCCGCCGGCACTGCTCTCCCCGGGTCCTCACCCTGCCGGCGCCACGCCAGGAAAGGGGTCTCCTTCCCCAGGCCTGAGCAGGGCGGGCAGCCCTCCTGCCCCGGGGGGCTTCAGCCTGCAGGTCTCCTCCCTGGCCGCCTCTGCATCCTCACGACTCCCCACCGCCCCTCTTGGCTTCAGCAGCCCCCTCCTGGGAAGCCTGCACGAGTTACCCAGCGGCTATGGATTGGGGCCCTCCGCCTTTGAGCCCTACACACGGCTGGAGAGGAAAGACAGTCCGCTGCACAGCCAGAAGCCCAGCCCTTAAGCCAGGGACAGCTTTAACTCTGGTGCGAATAATGACCGCTGCAGGGAGGGTGCACGGGGTCCGAAAAGAACAGAAAAGGCCCCACTTGCTCTCCCTGCAGCCTCCAGCCCATTCCTTCCCTGCACTGAGTTTTCTATATTGCAAGTGGAAATTCCAACACCGTTTACCAAATGTCAGCAACGTGATGTGCGTGCGTGCATGTGTGCGTGTGCGTGCATGGATGTGTGTCCCTTTCACAGAAATTAAATGACAGCTACTGACAAACCTGGCTCAGTACTGTGACTTAGGGTGCGCCTGGCACGGGGTGGCGCGCGGGGTGGGAGGTTTTCCTTCAGCTGCATTTCCAAGCAAGAGAGACACGGGTGGGGGAGGGCGGCCTCGACGGCGTCCAGCAGAGGCCAGCTTTTCAAGCTGGAAGCACGTTTGAAATGTTGAGGACAGGTAGGGAGCCCACTCCCCAAACGGCCTGCAGAAAGACGTTGCCTTTTTTCTGCGTGGTTGCTGTAGGGGCACAGTTGGTCATAACGTTTACGGGAAGGTGAGCTAGCCCTGAAGATGCTCTTGCCCATCCCAGTGCCAGAGGGTGGCACACTATTTTTCACCATCTTAGCATCCTTCCTTCCTTCCTTCCTTCCTTCCTTCCTTCCTTCCTTCCTTCCTTCCTTCCT